CTACGACGGTAAAATGAGTAATACCACTGACAATTTCGAGGCCCAGATGAAGCCCTTAGCAAGGTTATTATTCAGCCAACGCTTTAACACATTTAGTTCTATTGGTAAGAGAGGGCGGTTATATATGATGGGAAGCTTGGTGTTGCCTAGCAGTAGCTCGATCTTATAGTCGTACGAGCAATGCGGCTGCAATATATCGGCATCCTATGGCCCCCACGCTGCTGACCGTCCTGGGCGCCGACACGGCCGCCACCGCAACCGCGATTATCGCTACCACTGTCGCCGCTACGGCCACCTATATTCCTCAGGTTCGGGCATTCAGCCGCGAGATGGCCGGCGCGACCGCACTTATAGCAGAGTCCTAGATTCCAGCGGAGCTCGCGCTCTTTGTAACGGTCCCAGGAGTATATTGCAACTAGCTGGTGACGACTCTACGAGTTTGCCTCGAATGGAGAAAGAAGAAGAAAAGAGAGAACTAGATGACAGGAAGAGAGGGCAGCTCTTATATGCTCCGGAACACACAGACACTGCCTGACCTCAGGAGGACGTTATCATGATATCACGGCCGAGGGTTGCCGAGGCCATCATGGGCTCAGCCCATCACACTCTTAGGCGTTCATTTGATTGATCTTGATAGCGTCGGTGTCTATAGGATTGCCCTTATCGTCGTCCTTGGCCTTGCTACCGCCACTACCACCACAGCCACCGTGGTTGGCGTTGTTATATGTCACGAACTAACCATATGTACAAGCCCAGTGGGGCAAAAGACGGAACACCAGAGCCAATCATTCCCTCAAGAAAATTGCAGGCACCCGTACGAGGCTCACACGGTAGCTATAGGGGCCGGACGATCAAGGGTAAACTTAGGTAGCTAGCTACCTAAGGCAATCGAGGATAGCTCTCGGTAGACCGTGATCATTGGCAATCATGAAAGCTCTACTAGTTATAGTCATTCGTTCTAGAGGGCTTTAAGAGTCCTCTGTTAAGCAGTATAAACCGTTGGCTACACCTACTGTTGAGACATTTGCTTATATACTTGTTGTGAACCATTTAGCTTTCACTGAAACTTACCCAGTTGATAAGTTATAACCTTCAGGGAGTCGCTTTCAGAAGTTGAAGCTTCGAGATTCGTCATACGTTGCTGACTCCCTTTAGTTCTATCACGGACTTAACTGAAGGTTACCAATTGCCATAGCACCTAACACTCCGACCACTCCAGCTCTGTAGGCCCAGGCCACATGAGGCACTACGGCAACTGCTCAGGCACTCGAGAAGGACAACGTTTATAACGTTTAACTTGAACGAGAGCTCGCCTACCTGCGCGATAGACCGCCAAAGCTAAGATAGAGGTACCGCCCAAGTATAGAGGATCCAAGGATAAGCTCGCTGGATAGCTCGTGCAAATGAGAGCCTACCTCCTCTACTACGTAGAACGATTCGTCAACAAAGCCTAGAAGGTTAAATACGCAGCTCCCAACTTGAAGACAAGGTACTTAGATAGTTCAAACCGACCTTAGATGTTTAGAAACCGCGACGAGAAATCGTACGCCTAGGAGCGGCTTATAACTCTAATAGACCAAACTAGTAGTAGCCTACGCTACTAGTTTCGACAGGACTCGCTATATTCTAAGATCAACAACGAATGATTGATGATATATTGTTCTATAACGGCCTTAAGGATGAAGGTAAGGACGAACTCAATAAGATAGATCGACCAGATACCCTCAATAGATATACAGCAATGGCGATACGGATCGATAACCGCGTATACATATATAAGCTTTATCGTAAGGGTAAGGGTGCAGCAGCTCCGATATACTAGACCAGCAATAAGCGAAAGCGCTAGTATAAGAGTACGTCCTACGACACACACGTAGGAGCGATAGACGTAGACGCTACCTAGACCTAGAGGGAATGAAGAAGGGGCACCCCCCAGGGATAAGGCACGTGTCACCTGCTTCAATTGCAGTAAGAAGGGACACTTCAAACGCGACGGCTATAGCGCCAAGAGAGATTGGAAACCAGTTCTAGTAAAAATGCTGCCCGAAAGCGGCGTGAAAGTGCTCCAGCGCAAAGCAAGCGTTCATAATCTTTGCAGGTACCCTTGCTAGGCTCACTCGTTATTGCACGCCTTGAGCAGGCTGTTCGATTATATCCGCCCTAGGGGCCTTGTTTGCTCCTTACTTATAATACTCGGAATATCCTCCTCACTTACATTCCAGTCCAGTCTGACTATACTTTGGAAGGATCCTTCGGGCCAGTCTTTATTAGGGATAGCGCTGACCGACGCCATCGTCTTTGGGCTATCGATATTCCAGTAAAGTATCCGCAGTGCTATAACGTCGTGCCCGTTACTACCAATAATCCCTTAGTTTCAACTATGATTAACTCCCAGGTAGCTATAACTACTTGCTGAGTAGCTAGGGTTACAGCTATTATAGCCAATCTGCTAGAGCGAGAAATCTAGGTAGATAGATCTGACCCATTCGATGAGCCCGCCTTAGACAGGTCGGTTTGATATTCAGCCTTTGCTGGACGCTTCCTTAGACGCTCCTCTAGTAACTACATAATGCTTCCCTAGCTTTAGCTCTAGGAAGCTAGGACTATCGTGCCTATTGAGTTTATTCGGAATACTGGAGGACTTAGAAGGTGAGCGGCCGGTCTAAAAGCCTTTTCTTATCTGTTGTCGCTGCTCCTTCGCCACTCTACAGCTCGTATTAAAGGCTGGATAGGCTGCCCTATAGTTAAGGCACTTTCGGTTTATTAGTAGCTGGGCCTCGTCGGACCAGGTATAACGCCTCATATTCCCTAGCAGTCCCCCCTTACCTGTCCGGTCTATAGCCGCACAGCAAGCACCGGCCCTCCTTTGCTTTATAGAAGGCTGTCCTATGTCCCTAGGTGAGATATCCATAGCAGAGAGTTGCCCTCGCTAATCCTTTACAGTGTTTATAGGGTTATACCAAGCAGCCAATGACGGCGCCCCTCTATCTATCAGCTTATTTACCTCCTTAACTATATATATACCTCGATTAGGAGCTGTAGGGTCTTTCGCCTCCCGTCTTCTAAGATGCTCCTTCTCGGCTCCTATACTCTCAGCCGGGCTATCCTGATCTCGCTCGCCGTTGATAGCTCCTTAGCTAAGTTCGCTATATCCGCACTATATATGTCTACCACTGAGGATCAGATTCCTTTCGCTAGGACTACGAAAGTCCGGCGCTTAAGCAGCGCTGGGGCACCGAAGATTTTCGTTATCTAAGCTTGGTGGTTTGCCTCGTCAGTGAACCACGACGAGTACTCCTCTTCAAATAAAATAGCGATGTTTTCGCTCTTAAATAGCTTCTCAGTTGCTATTGCGCCTTTCGGGCCCGTCGGTCCTGCCGCATTGTTCGCCGCCGCTATGGTGTCTTTTGGGGGATTGATTCATGAGGTTCGGTCCTACGGCGCCAGGATCTACGATTAGGACCCGGAAGAGCTTCTTAGGCACCCACTGAACGCGCTCTGGAGCTAGTATCGCGTTTTCCATGCCCGCGCCCGCTATCTATGCCTATGTCGTACTTGCCGGCGTGGCCGATGCTCCAGTAATTTTGTCGACCTTCTTTTCTAGCCTTTCGAGGCGGCTTCGCGGTTCTTACGCGTCGTATATATAGGGCGCGCTCTCTACTTCAAAAGTCATACCATAGTATACGCGTGCCGTCGTCTATACGCATTCCTAAAGCGTCGACAGCACTAAGAACCGTAATTCTTTAAAAATTTTCTTCGTTTCGGTGTCTTCATTGCTCGATCTGCGCTCGTTCGAGATTCGTCCGCTTGTCGTTGGGGGGCTGTCCCGTCGGGCGCGTCCGTCACGGTTTACGCGTAGGCCGCTTTGGCGATTTGACGAGCCCGGGACGTTATCAAGATCCATCGCATCGTACGTCGCGCGCTGATTGCGCCCTCAATGCGACATTGCAGTTGGGGGCAATCAATTACGCTGAGCACGTTCCCGTTGTCAGAACTGGTCTTTGAGGTCTTTTGAGCGAGGTGCCGGTCTTTTCTGCAACTTTTCTCCCGAGGCAGTATGATAATAATATATAGTAAGTCAATGATAATATACTTAGTCTACGTGAAGTATCTCAGCCAGTACAGCAGCAAAACTCCTGAAAACACCAAATTTGATTGAGCTTGATAAAGATTTATTCCCCGACCGTGGTTTTCCCGTCGCGGGACCTGCCGCGCTTAGCTGCGATGGCTCACGAAATGGCGCGTGAGACCGCAGCCGGAGGTGCAAAAGATCCCACGCGGGCGGGGCCTGCCCCACCCCCTAGAGGAAGCCAACCAATCAGACTGGCCAACGACGACGAAGAGATGGACGGCGACGAGACAGACGACGATGAACGGCGGCGAGTTTGGCAATGGTCCAAATCCCATGTACGATGAATGAGACGATACTCTCGCGGCGATGATCATGCAGCTATCACCGAAGGAGAAACAGGCCATTGCTTATACGGTGGCTGACACATTTATAACGCGGCTGTAACAGCTACGTCAGAAGGTAGAAAAGGAGAGGGAGAAGAACAACAATAACTGGGTCGACCCGGCAGCGCTTCGGAAGATTGTCTTAGAGGCTATAGCGAAGGTATTCGAGGAGAAGGTGGCGAAGGCTATGGAGGAAGCCTGCAAGGAGGTCCAGGAAGTGCGAAGGGAGGTCCAAGAGAAAGGGGGAGCTCCGGCGGCCCCGGCAGCGACAACGGCTCAGGCACGGTCCTAGGCCGCCGTCGCTGCAGGAGAGACGGAACTCCCTACGAAGAGAATCCCAGGGCGTCGACAAAGAAGGGAGCAATTGCGGCGTGGAAGCTTCCTAGCGGTGACGTTATCGTTACCTTTCAGGACATTGAAACGAACTAGCACTTAGCATATGGAAGGTGGATTGGAGCGGCCTTCGGTTTATCGGCAAAGTAAAGAGGACGTTTGTAGTCCTTATAAAAGAAATGTTGAAGAGAGAGCTGAAGGATATTACTAAGGAGGACTTCAGCAAACAGGTAGGCCTGACGACGGTCGATAAGGTCAAGTTCCGGATCCCGACGATCGCGGGAGAGCAATAGCACTAGTCACTCTGACTAGCCAGGAAGAGGCGAGAAAGGTCTGCGAGGATAGGGTGGTTTGGCATGCCTAGATTCTAGACTGCGAGCCGTACTAGGCTGCTCTCTAGGCAACCTGATGCTACCGATGTTAGGAGTAGGGACAAACCCAGCGGTTCTGCAAGAAGTCATCGCTATGCCCCCGGTGTAGCATAGCAGCTCATAGGGAAGGCGGGAGGGCAGGGGAGGCCTAGTGCCCTACCTATACCAACGAGATTTCATTACGCTATTCGAATTGCACAGGGAGGCACCCGGCCTGGGCACGGTGGTGCCCGGATACAGTCAAAGCCCAGGGTGTAGCGAGGGAGGCATACCATTTCCGGCCGAGGACTTTTGAGCTTGCTCAAAGACAACAACGATAATAGGAGGAACAACAACCACTACCGAGAATGCGGAACGTTACCTTTCGAGGTAACCCTCTCCTAGAGGAGGAAGAATTCCAGGAGGTCACAAGGAAACGGCCGCGGGGACGACCCCCCGCCTTTATCGTTACGCAGGAGCAAGCTGCCAGGAGTCTGACGCAGGGAAAGCTGACCTTCGCGGTGAGGGATAGAACGGTGTAGCCTGCAGCTCCCGAGGTCACAGCCCCGGGAGCTACGGCCACTGGGGCGCTGGCTTCGGCTGGCGACCTGGATATGGGAATGCAGGGAGTGTAGCCTAGGGCTGCCTCCTTTCACCCGTAGTATATGGGATTCCCAAGCGCCGACCTAGAGAGTGTAGTATAGGTTTTTCAACCGGTTGGGCAGCCAATACCGTTTTCCTGTATAATGAGTATCAGACGGACCGGCACGCCTTACGCCTTAGGTATAGCGGTGTAGGAACAATAATATATAATGATATCTACATCGAAATCAAAGCTGGAGTACCTCAAACGCTTTGATCTAAGGTCCTATATAAGATACCTTATTAGCTACGTACTTTCCAGCAAATTATATATATAGAGTCTGGTTACCAATTAGGTAATCTATCCTTATTACGCGATATTCACCGAGCAGCAGATTTTTAGCGGTGTATTCGATGAATTCAACTATATTTGAGATTATATATGAGAAATTGATCGAGATAAGCTAGCACGGTTACTCAGTAAGTTCAATATCTTAGAGTAACTAGGCAAGCTGGTTGATCGTACACCTACCCATAAGGGGTGGATAACGCGCTCTTTTTATAATCAGAGCAGTAGTTAGAGCAGCAATCAATTTACAGCTTTCAGTAACCGACACCTCTCTTAGGGACCTCGGGAGCTTCTCCTACTCCAATAGGAAGTCTATAGTATAAATAATGCTCCAAGACTAGTAGGAATCTAGCTCTATACCTACATAGGTAAAGCTTATTCCTACGCTACCGATATCACCACTGGCAGCACTGCTTACAATAATGATAACTAGTTTTATATACGCAACGCGTAACCCCCACTATATACAGTACGTGTCCCAAAGTCTGGAGCACCACCACATTAATTAAAATCCGTCGCGACACGACACCCCCCATCATCAACCTTCCAACCAACAGAAATGCAGCCCACCATGTTCAATTTAGCCGACCTTCGTGCCAAATTGACGGTCGGCCGCCAACCTGGCCAGGAGTTATCACCAGCTGCACGTGCAGCCTTTGCTAGTGCCGTTGCAGCAGGGGCTAGCCAGACAACTGTTGCCAACGCGTTTTACATCAGCCGTCCGCACTGCAACTATCACTTCAACGCTTCGAATCTTCTACCACCTTCGAATCCAAGCCTAGAAGTAGCCGGCCAGAGATTCTTACGCGTCGGAGGAAGCGGTACACTATCCGATTTGCGAAGCGGAAGCCCGGTCTTACAACACAACTGCTCACTAATACAGTTGATGCTAGGATCTCTCGATCGACAGTGCGCCGAGTTCTCCGCCATCATGGAATGCACAAGTGGCGTGTACAAAATAGATTTCTATTGACAAAGGCTATAGCAATGGCCAGATATAAGTTTTCTTGTCTTTAGTGAGAGAATCTTGAGGTGCTAATGCGAGTAAGTAACCCTGAGGTTAACTCTTGAATCTACTGACCATTCTCTAGTTATCTTTACCGATGAATCGTCTTGCCAGAACGATTCAAGTAGCCCAGCGGCTTAGGTCTTCCAGTTCCCTTCTGAAAAATGGGATAAAGACTTTGCCAACATACAAAGTCATGGTAAAGGCACCATCGCAATCATAATATGGGCATGAATCTGAAAGGGGAGAGGACTGACCCTATAGTCATGGAACGTGACTATCAACCACCGTAGAAAGGGGATACAGCTCTTGGAGCTATCAACGGGCATTGGAGAAGCGCCTTCTTCCAGTTTACGACGGTACAAGACATTTACAGCAGGATAACGCCCGGGTCATACATCGTTATCCTCGACCGAGTGGCTCCTGAATCACATTATTGAGGTCCTTGAAGACCAGCCTGCTTTAACCCAGATTTTAACCTTATGGAGTATATGTAGGCTCTGTTAAAACGGAGGATGAAGCAGGAATATTTATATATCTGGTTACTTAAGAAACCACGTACACCTTGCTGAGTTTACTAGATACCTTCGGCGTTATTAGTAGTCAATTGACCAACCTCAGATTGACAGGCTGGTCAACTCAATGCCCCAGCGATTGGCTACAGTCAAGAAAGCCAGAGGCTGGTATGATAGATATTGATAGCTAAAACTAGGGCTTCAAATTGTTAAAATCCATATTGCTAGAAATTAAGCTGGTGAGCTGTTATAAACGGCTAAGTATCTTGGTCATAACGTCAGAAATTTTTTGGCTGGAGGTGGTTGGTGTAGGGTGCTCCAAACTATGGACACGTACTGTACAAAGCTTCCCTTCCTAGAACAAACATCGAGGGCCGCCCGCGCAGGCGGCCGGCCATCGCAAAATTCGGGACACTGGTTCTCTTAATCAGTTCTTTCAATTTCAAAGGGTTGCAGTGCCGCGTAAGCTTTATGACAGCCGCGTGGCTGTCGAATCGCCGGTTTTTTGAGGTCTTAAACGTACGGAATCGAGCGCCCGAGAATCCCTCACCGCCTCGCCTAAACGATTACGACAGGCGATAACCACCTCAACCAACCTTCAAAATAAGTTTGCAAGATAGGGGGATACTAGTTATGAAAACCACTCGACTCTTTTGATGTTTTTTTACAAGAGACAGGGTAACCCCGACCCTAACCGGTTCTGAGAGTAGCGCTGGCGGTAGCGACGAGGGGGCCTAACGATAGCGACGACGAGGATATAGAGTGAAGCTAGCATTACCGACTGACCGACTATAAGAGTAGGAGAGAGAGGGAGTACAGGTCCACTAAGGGAGGTAAGACGGGCGGCCGGTCCTTCTTACGAGGTACTTCGTCCTTTACAGCACTATAGTTAATTAAGTAACAGCAAGACTAGTAGGTCAGGGTAGGTTAATAGCGGTTCGAGGCTATCGAGGACTATACTAGTATAGCAGTTCTTGCCTTGCATAGCGCCGCTACGAGATATAGTCGGCACTATGGCTTTAGCCTTATACGGAGGCCCTTATAGTACAACTGGAAGCCAGAAGTCGGGGTTACGCCTAGCGGAAGGTGGACTGTAGCGGCTGTATTGGACGGAGGGGAGGGTAGCAGACTTATGAGCCTAGCTTACATCTAGGCTATAGAAGCGAAATGGGTGTCGCCTCGGTGGGGGACCTATTAGACTATATACGTGGCTAGGCTATATCCCCTTCTTCTAGGACATAGGTTATAGTATAGGATAAAGCCGCGGATGGATTACACTGGTATAGGTGCCTCGGCTATAGAACAAAAGTATACTGTCGCCGCCGCAAGGCAGCTGTGGTTTTGAGGAGCCAGTATAGCTGGTCGGAGAGGACGGACGCGTATATCGTTCTTCAAGAGGGAGGGAACTTTACAGATGCTAAGTACCCGGCTCGTACTTGGGCCCCGGCCTAGCACAGGCCGTAGTAGTGTCGCCTATATAGCTCTGCAAGGTTATGACTCTTACGGAGAGCTTAAGGTGCACTACCTTGGAGTCCTGTAGCTCGGGCGGACCAGGTCCGGTAGAGAGGTCCACTACGCCAACTAGGCGCTCCCACTCGACCTACCCTGCATCCTAGACGACCTACTCTGCACCTCGCTGCCTGCCCTGCTACAACTCTAATGGCATAGACGAGCGAGCACTTCACTGCTTAGGAAAGCCTGGTAGAGCTCTCGATCGACGATATTACTAAGCAACTAGTTCGTCCTAGAAAATGGACCGAAGCTCAAGCAAGCCCTTGTAGGAAAACTGCACAAGGCTCTACAGAGCGTTCGCACGCCAGAAACCCTTACACTTGCTAACCTTTGAAAGATAGTGGCAGAGGAGGTCAAAGCAGCTATCACGACGTCTAAGGCTGTAGAACTGAAGACATAGGCTGTAGTGGCCTCCTAGGGCCTCCCTTGATCTCTCGCTCCTCAGCCGAAGAAAGTAGTGCCGGCTAGGTTCTAGAGAGAAATCCTAGTCCGGGCTATAGGCTATATAGCCAACTAGAATAGAAGAACCTTATAGGAGGTAGTCTAGGCAGTGAACCAAGCCTCGGCTAATAAAGGAGCTACTACAGCCCGTATCCTTCCTGGTATTGATACCAGTACACCTTTAAAATAGTGGCCCAGAAGGAG